AGACCCCCCTATATTAGAAGACCCCCCTATATTAGAAGACCCCATAATTTAAAAGACCCCCCTTTATTAGAAGCCCCCCCCCCCCCATAATAGAAGACCCCCTTGAATAAATGACGCAAAAGACATATTAGAAGACCCCTCCCTCCCCTCCCCTCTTAAAAAGTCGATATTTTGAAACAGTTTCTGGAGTTTATTGACTTGTTTAGCATTTAAGCCTAGAATGATATCGAAATTCAGTACGAACAATATCTTGCTTCCTCCCTCATAACCAAATGTCAGGCTCGAATGAGTAAAATCCTAAGAAGCAACTAATAGGAAACAACTGTCTATTAAAGATTGCGTTTCTTTGTAAAAATATACTATGGAGTCATTTTAGTACTCCTTTGCAGCTTACTTTGAATACATTCTTCAGGCTCTATACACGAAAACACGCTTCCTTAATCATAGGATCTAATGAACGCAGTGCCTGTTCGTGCATGTAACACGTGAAGGGATCTTTGTACAATAGTAACAGATTAGGTAAAGTGCCGCTTTGTATTAATTAAAAGGTCTGTTTATCTTTGACTTTCTTCTAGAAAATCAGAAACGTTTTCACCACAAAACAGTCTTTCATAATTGAAGAAAACATAACTTCATGCACAGTCTACACAAAAAATTCTGGGACACTCAAGAATAGTTCTGCAAAATTTTATATTACGTTTGAAACAAACTTTATATATATTTTAAGTATAGTTACTGGTTACAGTTTCATATAATATTAAAACTAGAAGTTTTGCGTCTGTAGAGTAAAGTACGAAAGTTTAACCAGTAACTATACTTAAAAAATATATATAAAGTTTATTTCAAATGAAAGATGAAATTTCGGAGAGCCATTCTTGAATGTCCCAGAATTTTTTGCATAGACTGTATAAACGTCGAGATTTGATATGTGAGTACTTTTTTTGAGTTTCAGAATGCATTTCTTTTTTCAATAAGATACAATGGCATTTTTTGAAACAGACGCAAAAGAAAAACAGTGTTTGTATTCAACTGCTGATTTTCTATAGATGGTTTCTTCACAAGACAATCGTATTCATTGAAGTTAGCTTAAGATTAATAACTTTACTAGTAGCAGAATTCACTATGAATAGATTCCATCTATAGTAATCACATCTCCACATAAGCAACTGAATAAAATGAGTTTGATAAAAAAAAATTAATTTTCCTTTTTTACATTTATTTAGTTATTGAGAAGGTAAAATGTTGCCAGTGATAGGTGTTAGCCTAGAGAAAAAAGAACGATATGGGATATCGTACCAAGATGCTAGGCTACATTGACTGTATTGTTCTAAGAACACTTCTTACCAACAATGGTCTCCCTTTTTTCACAGGATGATATCTGTTTCTTTTTTATTCTACACATGTGAAATAAGTGAAGCAAACTCATTTACCAACGATATATTGGACAAAAATCAAGTGAAGCTAAGGTTTGTAGGTGGGATTGTCAAAAATTATGACTTTTTTAAGGGACATAATAGAAGACCCCCCTTTTAACTTATGAACAATAAGACAGAATAGAAGACCCCGGGTCTTCTAATGTGTCGATGGCTTTATTTGATTTTTCCGTTAAGAAGTAAAAGTGGACTCTTCTTGTCAGCTTGTGTAGTTGAGGAAAGTTATGAAGTGGTTTTACTTCACAATTAGTATTATTTCAAGGCCATTGCGTTTGACAAATTGGGCTCAACTTTGAATTCCTCTTTAATCACATATAGATTGAACCTTAGGTGCATCACAACTTCAGTTTCACAGCTCGCAAGAGCTCAGTCGAAGTGCTGGTAGACAGCATCAGCTCAGCGAACTGAACTGGAGTTATCACAAATCTACTTATAGGTACCCTATAGGGCGGCTTTGAGGACTTATGAGTACGTCCATAGGATAGGCGATGAGGACATATGGTTACCTTCATAAGATAGCTTCTCGGAACTTACGAGTATCCCATAAGATAGGCTATAATGACTTATGAGTACGCCTATAAGATATGCGTTGAAGATTTATGAATACCCGCATAGGATAGCTCTTGAGGACTTATTGTATTTCCGTAGGACAGGTCATGAGGACTTATTGT